CAGCCCAAATGTCCATCATCGGATGAGTGGATATGGACAATGTGGTATATCTACACAATGGCATACTACTCAGTCATAAAAACGAATGAAATACTGCCATTTGCAACAACATGGATGGACCTTGAGAGAATTATATTAAGTGAAACAAGTCAGGCACAGAAAGAGAAATACCACATGTTCTTACTTATTGGTGGGAGCTAAAAATAAATGAATAAATACACACACACACACACACACCCACACACACACACAAACCGGGGAGGGGTGAAAAAGACATAATAAGTTCAATTCCTTGAAGTTGATATGACAAGCAAACAGAAAGGACACTGTTGGGAGGGAGGGGTGANTACCACATGTTCTCACTTATTGGTGGGAGCTAAAAATAAATAAATAAAGTCACACACACACGCACAAAAAAAAAAACGGGGTGGGGGGGGAAGAAGACATAACAACTACAATTCCTTGAAGTTGATATGACAAGCAAACAGAAAGGACATTGCTGGGTGGGAGGGAGGAGAGGGAGTAGGGAGGGAGGTTTCAGTAATGAGCCACAATAATCAACCACATTGTATATCAAGAAAATAAAACTAAAAAAGAAAAAAAAAAGAAAAGAAAAGACTGGATAATATTCCATTGCATGTATATACCACATTTTGAAAAAAAAAAAAAAAAACTCTGGTCATATCTGGACAGTATATTGAATTGAAATGTGAAGAGATATCAGAGTCAGGTAGACAACTTAAGAGTATATTTCTATAATACAAGTGAACAAGGATAAATAAAAACCTGAAGTGAAATAGAATTGTGTAAAGGAATACTTGAAGTGTGTGGCATGCTATAGGAATTTAATGATGAAAAATCTACGAGAAAAAATAATGCAAATCATCATGTAACTTCCTTTGTGTATCAGCTGAATGTTCTTTCCACAGAGCTTTCCATACCTTATACATTTAAATAAGATAATTTATAATTATTAGTAATAAAAATATTTGAATCAAAGAATATATAAAATATCCAGGAATCCAGAGAACCCATCTCACAAATATGAGATCTTTCAAAGAATTGTATGACAGCAAAACATAATAGGCTAAGAATTCCAGTTTTACCAAACTATCAAAAGCACACATATTTAGCTTAACTAAGAACAAAGATACATGCGTTGTGAATATTCTCTAAATATTCATGTGATCACATCATTGAATTTTAAAGTAATATATATCCTAGGGCTGGCCCATGGTTCACTTGGGAGAGTGTGGTGTTGATAACACCAAGGCCACGGGTTTGGATCCCGATATAGGGATGGCCAGTTACCTCACTTGGGAGAGCGTGATGCTAACAACACCAAGTCAAGGGCTAAGATCCCCCCTACTGGTCATCTTTAAAAAAATCTATATCTATATCTATATCTATATCTATATCTATATCTATATCTATATCTATATCTATATCTATATCTCCTAAAAGAACAGAATGCACATAATTCAAATCTAATAATTACACACTATGTATTCTTAATAACTGAAAGTTTCATGTTTTGAAAAAAATGAAAGCACAGACTTCTACCCTATCAGTCAGAAAGTCAGATAAATGCGAGTCTTCAAAAAGTTCATGGAAAGGGCCGGCCCGGTGGCACACTGCAGAGTGTGCCGCTTGCGAGCGCGGCGGCGCTCCCGCCGAGGGTTTGGATCCCTTGTGGAGACCGGTTCCCGCTCACTGGCTGAGCGTGGTGTGGGCGCAACACCGAGGGTTGCGATCCTGTTGCCGGTCCCCGGTACAGGCGCGACACCGAGGGTTGCGATCCCGTTACTGGTCAGTAAAAAAAGACAAAAAGGAAAAAAAAAAAGTTCATGGAAAGATTTGTATTATCTTTTAATTGCATTTTTCCACAAACTTGTTGAAGTATCCTCGTATATATTCAACCCTGTCAAATTGGTTACATGGAATACTTGATGCATGGATACTGTTAATAAAGGAGAGTATCAGTTTAAAACAAAAACATATATACACACCCGAAACTGGCTCCACTGTCTGTACCACATATTCCTCTGACTTAAATTCTGACTACAGTATCATGCTCAAGAAAGCATCTGCTGTCTAAGTAGGTGTGCACAGAGGGACAGGGGTAGATATCTGCCACATGGGCTGGCTAGTAATTAACAAGACAGCCTGAAGGGAGGGCTCTGTCCTATCTGGACCAAGTCAATAGTCTAGATCCCTCTAGCATGTAGACTTAAAATTGAGAACATGATGAATCAGAAGTGAGTGGATGGAATAGACCAAAAGGAGAAGTAGACAACATAAGAGAAAGTCTACATAAAGCATAAAGAGGGTTATTGGTCTCTGTAGCAGCCTAGAAGCCACTCCACTTCCAGATCTGAAAATATGTGTATCTTTATGTAAATTCCCATTTTTCTGAAGGGAGGTTTTAAAACAGGTCATCTCATATCCCTTGCAACATTAAGTAGAATAACAGCACAGTGAACGAATTAATTTTAATTAAACATTACAGGCAAGTATCATTATTTCTCTTGTTTGACTAAAACGTCTAGAAGACAAAATATTCCACTGGTGTTTTATTTTTAGTGTAACTTAATTCTGTAGTCCTATGTGACAAAATTGAGCCCGGATAATTAATTCCTGTCATTATTGTGCCTTCCCACACTCTCCAAGCCTTTTCAAATCTATTGAATGAATCAGTGCACATTCATTTCACTTGCCTGAAATTGTTTTCATCTGTATCTCTTGATACCTCATAGAGTAACTACAGTTCTCATGTTCAGAGTGGGACTTCAGGTTACATAAGTCACCATGCAGACGTTCAGGCAGTTCTAAATCCTGCTGTTGGATCACTAAGTTATCACGTCTACACCTACACCTCCCAGACCTCACAATACCAAAAAGCATCCATGGTACCATTGAGGGACAGACTGCATTACTAGCTTCTTCAGTTGGATTACCACCAGGAAATAATGTTCCCTAGTCCAACTTATGGTCCTGGTCTTTACTTCTTTCCCTATGGATCTTTTACAAGTTTGAAATTCTTTTGGATTTCCTAAAAATTTTTACTGGTAGCAACAACAGAGAGGTCACTAAAATATAAAAACATAAAAAATGTCCAGGAATGTAATGTTACAGTACAGAGCCTTAAAAGGTAAATATTCCTGGATCTCAGTCATATTCTTTACTGTACTTTTTAAGTCATGTCTCTGGATTTCTTGTTTGGAGGTGGAATAGAGAGGATGGACAGAATGTCCAGAAAGTTCTAACAGAGCAGCCATTGTACTAAGTCCATTCATTTATTTTCTCATTTAATCCTAAAAATCCTACGAGTAGATATTACCTTTAGTTTGCAAAAGCAGGTAATTTTAAACTGCAATCTTCTCCCACTCCCAAGTAGGAGACAAAGACTAAGCGTCACTTAATATTGCAAACCAGACCAGACAAAAAAGACTTAGTTCTCTACTTAGTCATCTTGCTTTTCCTCATAAGGTTAGACAAAGGGTATTTTATCTTATCTTTGTCATTATATTTCATTGCTACAATAACATGACTTATGATGAGGAAGTTAAAAACCATTTTTGATACTTCATAAAAAGAATTTTAAAAACTCTCACCTAGCCCCAGACCCACGAATTCATCAGGAGCTTGATCTTTTGTTCCAGTAAGAGATCCTTCTCTGCCTCGCACTGTTCCAGAAATGTATCGAGGTTTTACTCCAGTTCCTATAAGTTGTGCCAGCTCCAACTGACTGATGCACTTCAGAATCTTAATTACAAAAAGGAAAAATTTTAAATTCCATGTTAAAAATATTCTCAAAAATATTTAAATATATGCAGCTAGAATTTAAACATAGGCTACAATATAAATCATTATAAGAAGCTAAATGTACAAAATTAGTTTGCTCCCCAAACACTTAAGCATGTCAGTGATAGAATATTTAGCATTAGCTCATTTTATTAACCAAATTGCAAAGTTGAAAATAAAGTGCTTATACCTCATGCCATGAATTTCCTAAATAATTTCCATCTGTATGAGCCACTGTTATAAGTGTTTTTATTGTGTCAATATTCTTCTGTTTCATTTCAGTAATACCAGAACTCACTGTAAGTAAGGTAAATCTTGCTAGTGCCTGGACATACGCATCTCTTTCCAGCTATAAAAAAGGGAAATGCATATTTACTTGATTGTAAACACAGCAGATTGATTGATTGATCTCTAATTCCCTACTAACAAATTCTGTCTACTTGTTAAAGTTTTTAACTGACACATCATAAACTGCATATAATACCACAAAATACAGGTTTTTCTTTTAAGATGATGAATGCAGAAAAGGCATAAATATCCCAAATCCAAAGGCAATGTTAAAAATCAAGATGAGATTTTAGTGATAAATTAATTCACACAGTAAAAAAGTATTCATTGAGCACTTTTGTTTCAAGTACTGTGTGGATTAACATAAACCTCATTTATAAATTTGCTCCTTTTTTCTCCACAGTAGGCTGTGCCATAACATTCACAATTAAATGTGAAATGGGTTAAAACAAAAAGTTTGGCTAAAATTTATCCTCAGACAAAGCATATAAATGACTGGAAGGGACTGCTTTCAGGAAAATTATGTACTGGATACTTGGTTCTCCTAAGAATAACTTCTTCTCAAGCCTAAGTTACAGAGTCATATAAAAAAATATAAAATGACTCAATACATATGAATATACAATATGTTTAAATAAGATATTCAGATTAACATAAAGGAATGCAATGTCTTAGAAACTTTTTTAACAGCTAATATTCTATAAAGAAAAAAACTGTAACCAAAGTTATCATAATGAATTTAAAACAGATCTATATAGAACTACCCCTTCTATCATAGCTTCTTAGAAACTTAAACATTAAGATTCACTTAAATTCCATGATAAATTTAAATTTAGTTTTTAATAAGGCAGATATAAAAAATTATTGTAATTTAAACTATTGTAATGATAAGTAATTAATGTTTTCCAGAGCAGCCACAAAGGCAAAATTCTTTGTTACCTGAATGCTGAAAATGCATGCAATTCTGATTGCACATCTTATACCTTCCAGGCAAAGAGAGGCTACTTCGGTATCATCACAGTCTTGTAGACCCACACTGAATGCAGCCAGAAAAGGTGTCCAAGCCAACTAGAAAGATTAAAAATTATAAATATATCATGGACATCAAGTGATAATTAAATTGTATTATACTTGTACATTAATATTTCACAAAGCTTTATTCAGACAATACAAGTTTTGAAGAAGTTCTAAAAAAAAAAGAAATGAAGTTCTTGGCATAGTTATCTGGAAATCTTTCTTAGACAAAGGGGAGAAACTATACAATACCTCCTGGTCTTAAGTAAGTGGGAGAATAAGATCATAAATTCAATAGGAGATGTTAGGCATATTTTCAGAACAGCATCTATAAATCATTCACATCAATAAAAAAATGGGAGTAGTCAATATTCATAAAACATATTAGTTTACCTCTGACTTCAGAACTCATCTCTCTTTGTAAGCTTTGTCCCTTGCAATATTTTATGGAGTCTTTATTTCCAACAAAATCCTCTTAATCATTTTCCTACTTGGAACAATTACATCATCCTCTTTTCTTTAAGACATAATTTAAACTAATCGTTTTAATAGTTAGATTATTTTACATTGAAATATCAGTGATATCTCTAGATGGTAGTTAGACAATATTCTTTTAAAAGTTCAATAATATATTTCTTCATTACAGACTATGGAAGACTGTAATGAAGAAACATATTTTACTAAACATATAAGAAATATATGTTTACTAAAATTTTACTATAAAAATTCTGAATAGCTAACAAAGTTGTAATGTAAAACAAAAAAAGAGCTACTTTTTGACTACTAAAAATCCTGATTAAACACGTAACTTTGAAATGTCTGGCGTGAGACATCCTTTCAGTAAGTCATCATGAATCAAAATTATATACCCATTGCCTTGGGTTGAATGTCCCCCCAAACTTAATCCCCACTGTAACTGTTGAGGGTGGGAAATCCTATCACAGTAATTGAAAGGTAGGGCCTTGAAGAGGTGATTAGATTGTAGGACCATGCCGTAGTGAATGGATTAATAACAGTGGTCAGGGGCATGGTTCTGAGTAAAAGGAGAGTGCATGAGGAATTATCACACTCCCTGTTCTGCCATTTTCTGTCATGTGAGACCCCTGGGTCACTGTCACCACCACCAAGACCCCTCACCAAATGTGTTCCCTGGACTTTGGACTTCCCAGCCTCCAAAATTGTAAGCAATAAATTTTGTTTTCGTGTGAGACCCCTGGGTCACTGTCACCACCACCAAGACCCCTCACCAAATGTGTTCCCTGGACTTTGGACTTCCCAGCCTCCAAAACTGTAAGCAATAAATTTTGTTTTCTTTATAAAATACCCAGTTCTGTGTTTTTTCTTATAAGCAACAGAAACAGACTAATACACCCATATAGCTGCAAAGATGAAAAATAATAATACCAGGGTTCTATAGACATGACAACTGGAATTTTAAAAAGATCTATAAAGCTTTTATCATTACTAAGAAAAACAGAATTACTCAGAGATTTGCTTCTAAACTTTACAAAGTTTAGAATCTCTAAACAAAGGAAGTTAAGTCACAGTATCTAGGTTCTAGTCCTAGCCCTGCCACTTATTTAATCTCTCTGAACCTCACTTTTCCTCATCCATAAATTTGGACTGCCACTACACAGAGATGCTGTTAGAAACATATGAAGTGCAGTACTTGGAAACTACAAAGTACTACATGAAAGCAATAAATTACACATTCTATTATAGAGAAACAGCACATCTATTTGGAAACCTGTGTTATATTTTATAAAAAATACAAATGGTTCTCAAGCCAGTATATAAAAAAAAAAGTTCAAACTCCATTAAGAGAAATCATTGTTTTTGATTCCTATCAAATTACACCTAAATAATATTCAAGGAACAGTGAAACTGTCCACTCATAACTGTGTAAACCTTTGTAGAATATAATCTGGCAATACGTAAAAATGTTCTTAAAAATGTTTATACCCCTTAATATTATAAATTGCTCCCAAGGAATTTATCATTCATTCATTCCCTCAGCCAATGCTTGTTTGTTGAGCATTAACCACAAGCCAGGAGCTATACTAGATACTGGTTAAAGTGAACAGATGTAGTCCCTTGCCTCATAAATATATATAATGTATATAAATAAATAAATAAATTATAAATACAATAAAGGAAAAGCATAGCAAAGGGACCTAATTTAGATTAAAGGGGTCAGGGAAGAACTCTCTGGGAAGGTGACCTTTAAACTAGAAACTACTTAGGCAAAGAAGGAAAGAACATTCTAAACAAAGGACACACCTTGTATGAATGTCTTGAAAAGAAAAAAATTTAAGACATTCTAGAAACTGAAACAATGTTGGTATGACTGCAGCATAGTCAGATGAGATCTGGAGATACCTTTGGAGAGGCAAGTGGAGTCAGACCTGGGAGGTCTACAGATCCTGTGGGTATGTTAGGTTTCATCAAAGTGTCATGCAAAGTCTATGAAAAGCTTTAAAGAAGAAGGTGGCATTTCATCTTACTTTTTAAAAAGATCACTCTGGCCTCTGTGAATGGCTAAGAGGAGTGCAAAAGTAAACAAGAGGATGCCAGATGGGAGAACATTACCATAATCAGAGAGGGAAATGAGGGCATCTGGAGTAGGAGAGTGCCAGTATGAATGGCAGTGAGAGAAAAGAGTGTTAATTCTAGCTTAGAGGATGTTTAAATAAACTACAGATAATCCAGAGAATAGATCACAAAAGTTGCTTATGAAGAATTTTTGATAAATTGGGGAAATATTTATGAGAAATAGCAAGATATAAAATTTTATACATGGTATGATCACAACTATTTTACTAAGAAAAGTAGTACATAAACATGGTAAGAGAAGTTATTTCTGAGTGGTAGAATTATAGCTGGTTTCTTACTCTTTTTGTTTTTTAATCTTCCATTCACCACCACCACCACCACCAAAAAACATTATTTGAAAAGAGAAGCAAACTAAGGATATGAGATTATTTAAAAGAAAACAAAAAACTGTTTTATAAAATTTATTTCATATTGAAGAAGTGTTTCTCATATTTTAACATCATTATCTATATTATTCCAGAAGATAAGACCAGTTATATTCCAGTATTCCCTCTAAATTATCTCCCTAGCCACCTCATTCTCAACCCATAATTCTTCACCAATTTTTAGAAACACCATATCACATAGACCTTGAAATAGGGGTAGAAGTAATTATAAAATTTTAGAGTTGAGAGGAAACACAGAAATCTTCTAGTCAGCTTTTACTACTCAAATATATACATAGTTAATATCAAAATGAGAACTCATATTATGACATTCAGCCTCCTAAGACCATCTTACTATAGTGTCTCAGGAACTGGAATACACTTTATTCACTTTTCCTTTTCAGGCTTGACTAGCTTCCCCTCCACTTCCCTACAGCCCTTACAATGCACTGCTTACTCATTCTGGAATTCAGAGAAAGGACAGAAAAGAAAAACAGGAGAATGAAGAAGGAATGGGAAATCAAATTTCAAAGAACCAATAAGTATCATTATTACTAAGTCAACCCACGAACATAAATAATGTTCCCTTTTGTTTCTTATTCTACTTTCTGGGATCCAGGCATACTCAGAACCCTCATATTAGTTCCTGGACCAGAAGCACTGAGAGAGGGCAAGAGCCTCATCATCACTTTGAAATCTGAGTTAACTACAAAAGTTTTAAGTATAACTCATTTAGAGAAAACCAGGCCATGCATTAATGGTCATTTTTCAAAAACTTTCTATTCTTAATTTCTATGATTACACACCTGTTAATTACTTATAGTGTACACCTCTTCTAATTCTCCTTATTAAGAGAAATGTATTACATGTTACGTCCTAAATGACATGGCTATTGCTTCCAGGTCTACACCAATGTGCTTATCACTAATACTTTAACTTAAAAATATGCTGAAACAAATAACATAAATGTATACTGCAACCAAAAGTTACTAGTAATTCTAACCTTAAACATGGGCCTCACATGCTCCAAATGTGTTGCACTTGTAAAAGGTGCCTGAACATGGCTCACGGCCTCCATGAGTGCTTTAGCTGTCTTGGCCATCTGTTCCATTTCTAAGTTATACAGAAGTCTTCTTTGTTTTTCACTGGCTACGTCTGAAACAATAAACACTATTAGCATTTAAAAATACTATTTTGATGTTTTACTATAATAATAAACACCACCAACACTAACTAAAAATAGTCCCAATAAACCACACACAAAAAGTCACATGCTACATGATTGCACTTACATGAAATATCCAGAACAGGTAAATCCACAGAAACAAAGCAGACTGGCAGACTGATGGTTGCCAGGGGTTGCAGGGAGGAGGAATGGGGAGTAACTGCTTAACGGGTTTGGGGTTTTATCTTGAAGTAATGAAACATTTTGGAGCTAGATAGAAGTGATGATTGCACAACATCATGAATGTACTAAATGCCACTGAATTGTTCACTTTAAAATGGTTAATTTTATGTTATGTGAATTTTACTTCAAAGAAAAAAAAAATCCTGGACTAGGAGTTAGGAATAAGTGAAAAATCTATGAAAAGGGAAGAGAGTAGCTACAACTGTCACGATGAATGTATTAGGGAAATAATTCAAATGTGGGATAGAATGGCAGAAGAGAGGCAAAAGGCAATGGCATCCTTGCACCACACAAGCTTGGAGGACATCTCCTCAGTTAACAAGAGAACACTGGCCCTAACACTCCAGGGTAATTTTAGTGTTTTCAGTACACCACCATCTCCTTGCCATATCCAGCTTTTCCTTGATTTCCTATCACCATATAAAAATAGGCCAGAGAAAGAGGTATAAGGATTTTATAATTCAGACAAGAGGAAGAAAATTAAATCAGAGAATAGGCATCTACTTAGGTGTGAAAAATGAAGGCTTGATGAATACTTAATGTTACAAGCAGAGCTAAAAATAACACTAACAAATAAATTGTTCATACTGGACTGGTATAAGAGTCAAGGGTGCCTAGTTCAAGATTTGGCTTTGCCACATGACCTCTCTGGGTTTTAGAGGCAGAGAGATGAATAAAAGTTTTTTATTTAGCTCAGATTCTGATTCTCTTTCCTAATCTCTCTGGACTTGAGTTTCCTCATCTATAAAAAAGAGGGAGAATTTTCTATTAGAATTAAAATTTCTTAGAATATAATCCCCTATAATATTCTAAAAGGTAAGGCCTAAGGCCTGTTATACTCCACTGTTCTTTCTAACATTATCTCCCTAGTCTACTGACTCTCACCCAATAATTTTCCAACTTTTGAAAATATACACATCACATAGACCTTATTGCTTCTCTCCTGTCAAGAGAATTTTGCTACTGCAATCTGTTCAAGCTTGAGATTTCACTTCCAAGTGGAAGTGCTCAGAGAGTCAGGATTCCTCTTTCTATATTACTGTGACATTCTTAAGCTACTACCCTCACCTCATCCTGTAGTCAGATTTTGGCTCTAATTTAATTACCACTGCCTACATGTATACAGTGTTTAGAATGGAGCTGGGTCCACAGTTGGCTACTAGTGCTGATTAGATATAGAAACTCTACAGTGACATACTTTGCCGTCTGTCTAAAGAGATTTCTAACTCTAGGAGCTCCCCATAATCCTAGGCTTCCCCACCTCCTCCAATCACCCTACTTCCAGCTTCTATTTATGTATAATAATAGATGAGCAGATGGAAATATGTTGTTTGTAGATGATGAGGCAGAAAAAAAAAAGCTGAAGTCTGACGACGGGGGTCATCTCACCAATCTCTTTAACCTCCATATCCTTGCTGAGACTAACTGCTAAATGGACAAGTATATGAGTATATTAAATGCACACGAACATGTGCATATTATGTAGCATTTTTCATCAATCATTATGGGTTAGTGTTCTCTTCAGGATGAGGAAAAAAATACGATCAGATCACAAATTGTTATTATAAAACTTATCAATACATGGTTCTAGCGCATATTTATATGGTTACTTTATTTTAAATCAAGGGAAAAACTTTTAAGAACTCGTATTCTTCCCCTTGAACAATCAATTGATTTGGATACTTACTTTGTTTACTCGATTTTGTAGGTATTGTTAGTTCTTTTGTTTCTTTCATTGATATCTTTTTCCCAGCTATTTCATTATAGATAGCTGATAGATACTCTTCAGGAAGGTCTTTACTATCATTGATACCTCTGTTCATCTTAATGTATTGTTCCTTTGTCATTTTATTTTTAACCTAGATATGAAAAACCATTATAATTTCTAAAAGTTAACATAAAAATGTCACATGTATTTTAAGAATTTGAATACTCACATGAAAGATTTTTTAATAACTTTGAGGACACAAAGTGGGAAATGTTCAACAAAACTCACACAAAAGAGGAAAAATGAAGTCACAGAAAATAAAGGCAATGTAGAAAAGACCCATTCCAGCATTTACTAATTCATCTTGCTCTGATGTGGACATTGGTAATTAATAATTTTTAAGGTGTGATAGTATTTTGATTATATTTTAATAGAGTATTTCTCTTTTAGAGATACTAAAATAAACACAGATAAATTGATACGATATCTGGGATTTGCTTCAAAATCATTTGGGGGAGGAGAGGAATGTAGTTAGAACAAGACTGGCCAGAAGTTGATAAACTGGAAGCTGGCTGATGGGTATACGGGAGCTCACTATACTAATTTCTCTACTGTTTAAGTTTGAAACATAAAAAAAAAAAAAGATTGTTTCTATATAGTGTTTTTCCATGTTGTGATAAGTATAGAAAAAACACTTATAAACATCTTTTTAGATTAAAATTTATCTTTAGCTTTATATAGCTATCAATCATGAGACTAACAAACACAGATATATTTTACAAATACCTAAAAATCTAATTAGAATTACTAATGGAAATTGCTTTTGTAAAATGTATACCACTCCAAATTAAATGCCCCAGTTTGGTGACTGATTTAACCTAATAAAATTAAAATTTCAACTATTACTTATTGAATTCAAAAGAATGTATTTAATTTGTACTACTTATTATAAAACTGACTTAGAAAAAAACATACCTGTGGACTGTGAAGGTCTGTAGTCAACATGATAATTGAGTAAGCCAAAACATAAGCAGTATCTGCACTAGCAAAAAGGGTTTGTCTGGAAAAATAAAAGTATCATGTTATAAACTTATTGTTTTATAGTTTCATTTAAACAGTTTCATCTCAAATCCCGTAGCACTTTTACTTTTCTCTCTTAGGACTTATGTTCTATCTTTACTTTTCTCTCTTAGGACTTATGTTCTTTCTATCTCATATTACAATTTTTTATGATTTCCCGTAGCACTTTTACTTTTCTCTCTTAGGACTTATGTTCTATTCTTTACTTTTCTCTCTTAGGACTTATGTTCTTTCTATCTCATATTACAATTTTTTATGATTCTGTCTTATCTCTTCCACACTGTAGATAATCTAAATCCTCTAAGGGAGGGGGTGGGGGGGATTATAGCCTTTTACTTCTGAATCCCTGGATGCTCCCAGCACAGTGTCTTGAATATAGCTGACAGTCAATAATCATGTGAAACTTACTTACCCTTGATTGCATTCGAGGTATCTTGCAGCAAATTTCTCCATTAATCGATCGATTTTCTGAGCTTCCCCTGGAAGACGGAATCCTTCCAGAAACATGCGAAGGGCTGAAACAAAGTCCTTTCCTGAAAAGTCATGTTGGTCCACGTATGCATACATGACCTCTTTGTTAAATTTATCATTATCTCCCAGGAACTCACCCACTTGAGTCTAAAGTAAAAACAAAAGACAGAAATTAATATTCTAATGGCATGGTACATTCACCACACAGCCATTTAAAAAGCAGAAAATTTTGACTACAGGGTTAACAATTTCAAACACGAAGCTAAAAGTTTAATGTACTAAATGCATTTATATATTTTTATATTTATACATACAGTTGATCCCCGAACAACATGGGTTTGAATTGTTTGGGTCTATTTATATGCAAACTTTTCCTCAATCAAAGATTGAAAATATAGTATTTCCAGGATGCAAAACTCACCTATATGGAGGGTCTACTTTTCATATATGTGGGTTCTGCCAGGCCCACTGGTTTACACACTTAGGAAAGCATTTTAAAGGAGCTACAAAACGTATTATTAGCTTAAAAAGGAATTTTATAGAAAAGGTCAGAATGAAATATGGTATTCTTACAGAGTCTAATCTTTCCTCTTGATGTAAGAATTGGGCGATATCTTCAGGTGTAGTGCCAAGCATCCCTTGTTCTTGGAGGTACTGTATTCCTCTCTTTGGTTTCTTATTAAATCTAGATGATATTAAAGTTAACAAGAACATTAAAAATAAAAAATCATTTGTCTTTTCCTAAAAAGAAGATCTTAAACTACAGTACTGTAAATTAATTTTCTAATAGCACTTAGAAAATAGGAGCTTACTTAATATAATCGATGTGTAAAATGTACAAAAATATTACATTGTCCAAAGTTTTCTTTATTCTTTTCTTTCTAGAAAAGAGTCTCAAATAGAAGGCCATTTTTAATCACTGATACGGATCATTTCACAGATTTCCTGTTACACTATGGTATATTTTTTGATCAATAGCAACAGTGGTAAACTGGACTATTAGAGACAATGCCATGTAGCAGATGAACATTGAATAAGGCTGTGAATACTAAATATGCCAAACTTTGAATATATATTCTTCTTAATCCTCAAGTAATCTTGGCTCATTTGCCCAGATTACGCTGGCATACAAAATTTTTCTCAATATAACTCCAGTTTATCTCTCACACCCTTCTGTCTCATCTGCTCCCTTATATCCTATCCCATTCCATAAACATAATATATTTGCAGAATCTATTTCCTCTGCATGCCCTTGACCTGTTTCATTCACAGGGTAACTCTCCCTCATACTTTAAGATACAATTCAAATGTCACCTCTGTGTTTACAAATCATTTACTTCCTACTTTTATTACTTTGGTGCCTTATCACTTGTCACTCGGGCTATTGCAAGAGTTCTTAAATGGTCTCCCCTATCTCTTGCTTTGCCCACATTCTAATCCACCCTTCAGGCTGCTGGCAAAGTCATCTTTCCAAAATAGAAATCTGATGCTACTGCTCTAGTGCTTAAAATCCTTAAGTGGCATGACAGTGTCAAAAGGAACAAGACAAAAACTCCTTTACATGGAGGATAAGGCCTCCTGTAATCTAGATCCAACTCAATGCTCTCATCTCATCTCCTGCTACTCCCCCTCTACCCTGTCCCCGCCATGCTTAACAACAGTCCTCAGATGTCCTCTCTTTCCTCTGGTACTGCTGCACATGACATTCTCTTTGTCTGGAACGCTTTTCCCTGTTCTGTCCTCCTAATGATTCCTCTGTCAATTTCTATTTCAACCACAGCCATATACAATAATTAAAAGCAAACATTTTTCACTGAGATAAACACAATCCCTGCTCTCTAGAAGCTCTCACTCTAATGGAAGAAACAACACATTCCAAAAAATTGTAATAGTAAAATGCATCAAATAAATGTATTCACAAGGTTAAAAAAAAAATAACAGCAGAGGAAGTGACTAACTGAGATAGTCGTGATATATTTCCTTGGGAAGGTAACTCTGGAACTGAGTTTTGAAGAATGATTATATCTTTTACCAATAGTAAAAATAACGACAACAAAAACAAATCATCTTAGGCAGAGAGAAAGAGGCCATGCTAATACACAACAGCATAAAACAACATGATATTATAATAAATAGCTCTGCATTGCTGAACAATGAAATAAGATGAACAATGAAGTGGCAAGTAATGAGGCTTAGAGTCCAGCAGATCCAAATCATGAAGATATTATATGCTATCACAAGAAGCTTTGGCTTTATTCTCTAAGAGCAAGAGAAGGGAGGAATGCAATCAAACTTTCATTCACGAAAGATTATTCTAGTTAAATGTGAAAAAAGACTGAAGAATAAACAAGACCAAAGAAAGGTAAGTCAATTAAAAGATTATACTAGTCAAGGCAAGAAATGGTGATGGTTTGACTTGAGAATAGTTTGTGGGAGATGGAGAAAAGAGAACAAATGGCAGAGATATTTAGGAAGTAGAATCAACAGGACTTAGTGACAGATTAGATTCAAGAGTGAGGTGAAAATCTTAGCTAATACCCAGGATTCTAGCTTATAAATTTAGTAGCATACTGGGGTCACTAGCCTAAATAGGAAATATAGAAACAATAAGGTTTTCCATTCCTCTTTTGTTTTTGGTTGGAATATTGGGGGGTTGATTATGGAGAGAACAGAGACTGATAAATACAGTTCTGGACATGCTGATGTGAAAAACTATGCACTATCCAGTGGAAACTCCAACAGGCAATTAGAGATATGACTCTGGACTTCAGTAGAGGTGTTTATGTTAAAAACAACACTTGGCTGTTGTGAGACATTAGAACAAAGAAAGAGCATAAAAAAGAACATGACCACTTAAGAGAAGATACAAAGTAAGAAAAGAAAAAGAGTGAGAGAGAGAACCCAGGCAATGCTAAGATGTACGCAGGAGAAAAATAGCCCATAACAAGACTGAAATGGCATGGTCCGAAAGGTAGGAGGGAAACAGGACAGAGTGGTGTCATGAAAGAAACAGTCTGGAAAAGTATATGAAAACACAGCTACAAGAAAGCATTCTCATTAATAGCTGTATGAAGTAGAAAGCAAGTCCAGTGGTTAAGAGGACTAGAGGTTAGGAGGATTTCCACTTTAAAGCCCTATGACTTCTACTCAAGCACATCAGAGTTATATACCACGGCAGCACTTTGTACAACACCCTATTATGGACCTTACACAGTACTATTTTTAAAAAATACTTTGCCCATATGTAGACTAGGTGCTTGGCACATAGTCCCAATTACCAAATATGTGTTTGCTGAGTGAGCAGCACAATTTTAATAAGCATAGATGTTTACACATACTAGACCATGTGCTCCTCAGGAAGAAGAGCTGCTTTATTCATCTTGTTTCCCCAGGACCTCATGTATCTGGAACAGATGGGACTTCAAAAATATTGACTGAACAATTAGAATAAGTGAAGTATTGATAGCTATTTCCTGAGGCAATTTTGTAAGATTTTATCATTTTATAGCAAAGAATATGTGTACATTTTTGTCATCCCCCCCCCATATTAACACTGAAAAAAAGATACTTGACACATCAAAAGGCACTGCTTAAATATCAGGAAGAAATTCTTTACAGCAGAAGTAGCAAACCAAGCAAAAATACAAGGGGATTTTTAACAGGTTACAGTAGCTAGACACATGGAGAAAGGCCAGCAATTTCATTGTTCCTCATGGCAACTCTTTGAAAGAAGAGATGGGCAATAAGAGAAAGGCAGGCAGTATGCTGGTATGCACACAGGAAATAGTACAAGAGTAGGCAGATATCACAAAGCTTAATGGACTTCACAAGATCAGAGTCTGGTATAGTAGCCAGGTTGGAAAGGGAGGTGATTACCTCATCAACACATAAAAATGAAATCAATAACAAGAGGATATCAATAACAAGAGTAGTATGTTTGTAATCTAACTGGAGAAAACAAAAAACCTATAAAGGAGCAATGCTCACTATTAGAAGTTCCATTCTTTAAATTTTTTGCGTTGTCACCTGATTAGGAAATATAATGGGGGATTTCATAACTAACCTAAATGAACAGTATAAAACTACACAGATAACGTTCATCAACTGCACATAATACATGGTTGTAAAATTAATTTACACGCCAAGCCACAGGGCCTGCCTGGGTCCTGAGGTACGGTGTTGGGGACTGACCCCTCTTCCTGCAACCAGGAAAGGAGCACGCCAAAAACACCACTTCCATGTGACCACAGCCACCACAATACCACAGCTGCTACAAAAATGGCTAGACACCACAACCACTGTGCAGATGGCCTGCCAGCCACTCAAGTGCATTATTACAAGGAGAGTCACCAGAGGAGACCAAAGAAAAGAAGAGGACGTCTCTCTCCACAAAGCCCATTCCAGAGTGACAGAAGTAGCATCTACTCTATGATGATAGTGGGGGTCCTGAACACACTTCTCTCAGCACTGGACAGATCATCTACACAACAAATCAACAGAGTAATTGTTACTTTTTCAGAATGAGAGAAGAAATCTAGGGTTATCAGAGGTGGGAGTGGGGAGGGAAAGGAGGATGGGGAGAGACTGGATAAGGGGCATAAAGAATAAATACAATTTGTAGTAACATACATGCTAATAATATTGATTTGATCGACATATGTCAATGTTGAATGCCAAAAATATGTATAACAATTATGATTCAATAAAATAAAGAAAAAAAATTAATTTACATGCCAAAAGTGGCTGGGCATTACAAGAGTCTGTTTGGGTTAGACTGCAATGAACAAGGGAAGTTGTACAGGGAACTATTAAAATTCGTGGATCCAAGAGAATAAACTACACTCCACTTTACTCATTGAAAGGTGGTAATAAGGAAGGAATAAAAAACAATCATAAGATGTAAAGAAGCCCAGGCAAGGGGTGGCATAGTACTGGCAGAGGGAGATTCAATAATACTTCTCTTTATACTTAGATACTTACAAATCTATCCCTTGTTCTATTATTTCTTTTTGTTGTTTCAGGACCTCAAATTGTTCTGGATTATCAGTGCCAGACATCTGTGTACTGTAGCTGCCTATTCCTGACGACGATGTCGACTCTAGGGAATTTAAACTTCCGTATCTGTTTATTGTCTCAGTGTGTTTAATTTCGCTCATCTCCTGCTCTGAAGGTTTTTCCTGACCTATTAAAAAGAAGCAAAAACCACAAAAATGGATATAGTACTCATATATTATTCTGTGCACAGCTTGCACCATTAGGAGGAGTTCTTTTTGCAGTTGCAGTGCTGAGTACAACCTGGATTTCTGCTTTCAGCTCATGCCTCAAGGGGAACAGTTTTTCCTCATAGGACTCTTGGCTTAGATAACACTAGTGTAGCCCTGCAGCTATGATTTTTTTTCTGAGGGAAGGTAAACATGAAACAGATGAACAATTCAACCTTCTTAAAACTTACTGACTTTTATATGTATCTTCTATATAATAAAGTTACGTAAATATAGTTCACTTTATATAATGTTCAAGATATTTCTAAGATGATTTAGAAAGAATAGTTTGAATAACTAAGTTGAAAAATGTGTAATTTTAAAACTAGTTATATAACTCATAAAGAATGCTTCTTTATCAGTTAAATAAATAAATACATCATGAAATTGGTTTAACAATATTTGCAACTATCCTCCCAAGTATCATTTACTTAAAACAACAAAGAATAACTCAAAATGTCATCTTACCGAGAGTTGTCTGAAAGTTGGGATTCACATACTGATCCTTACTCCATTCAACCATACACTTCAAAATCGACACTAAACATTCTAAACCTTTTTTCCTCAGGCTCAATTCCTACAAAATAATTCATAAATAGAATAACAACAAAAAGATCTTTTAAGGAAAGCACTTGGCTCTTCTTTGGCAGTTTAAGTTGGAAAATGTTTTTAAAGTTCTTACCTGAATATTACTCATACCAAGTTCTTGACTGCCCCTTCCTTGAGCAATTTTTGATAGATCATTTACTAGCCTTTCAAATATATTTGCTGCATTTAAGTCACAGTCGTAGTTTACATAAATATCCACTACACTCTGAGCATCTGTAACAATATATTAATTTCAACAAAATGCATCTAGTATATGAGTACATTTGGTCTTTTAAATATTTCATAATAAGAAAGAGATAATAAAGAAGGATAATTTTAAATACCTGCACAAATTCTCGTCAGTGTCTGAATAACCATCCATTTGTGATCAAATGAGCTGGTAGAAGTTTCCAAAATGTATAGGAAAATTTCTTTAAAGAACACCTGTGATTAGAGGAAAACTTGTGTTTAAAATATTGTTTAGAATTCATATGTATGATCACTTTTTCAATACCCCAAAGCTATAGAGTAGAGATTACGACATAAGCTCCTCTGGAGCTCAGCAACTTTTGAGCTCCATCTCTGAAACCTCAGGACTAAAAACTTGGGTGGGTGACTTAAACTTGCCCTTCTAGTACCAACACTGCACTGTATACTGTTGTGTTTTACTTTCCATCATCATACAAAAGAAGAAGTTGCTACAAAAGAAGTATGCAAAGATTTGGAGTCTTCTAGATGACAATTTCTTGAACATCTTTACAAAACATAAATTATGCTTCATTTTTTTACCCCCTCGAAGGGCATAATGTACACTTCATTCATAAGTCACATTTTTCAGACATTCTAGTACTGGGCAGACGTAATTGTTCCTAGATTTAAATGTAACTGATACGTTAATCAACACAATAAAAAGGATCTAACTCTTATAAGCAATTATTTTTCTAATTATTCACAAAGGTGAACATCTCTACTGTCTAAAAACTACATATAAACTATTTCTCACTATTCTTTTTTTTTTTTTCCTTTTTGTCTTTTTTCGTGACCGGCAACGGATCGCAACCCTCAGTGTCGCGCCCGTACCGGACCGGGACCGGCAACGGGACCGGCAACGGGATCGCAACCCTCGGTGTTGCTCCCGCACCTCGCTCAGCCAGTGAGCGGCCGGTCTGTATGTGGGATCTGAACCCTTGGCGGGAGCGCCGCCACACTTCCCAAGCAGCACACTGTAGCAGTGCGCCACCGGGCCGGCCCTCTCACTATTCTTTACACCAAATATTATCAAGAACAAAGGAGTTAATAAACCTAATGAAATAAATTTCGATTTAACAGCTAAAAATTTTTTGGAAAAGTGAGTGTTATTTAAGAGATGACTGAAAAAGAAAACATGCGACAGTATTCAAAAAATTCATGGATTCATATTATCTTTTAAATCTATTTTTCCACAAACTTTTGGAAGTACCCCCAAATTAACATTTATGGACCATATGTATTGTGAATCCAGAAATAATCACATTTATAACATCTTCTCCCCTAAAATGGGTTAGGTACCCTTGTAATGAATGTGCTTTTCTTTCACAAAATTCAACACATTTCTATTTACTTGCTAACTATCAATACTCCCTATGGACTATAAGGTCTAAGAGAACAGAGCCAAGGTCTTTCTTGCTAAGCATTGTGTCCAGATTGTATGGCTTCTAGGTGAACACTGTGGGTGTTCAGTAAACATCTGTATTTACGGCCACAGTTTGCAAACACTGCACCATGGCACCCCCAGGATGCTATAGCAAACTCAGAGGTGCCATGAGAATTTTTGAGGCAAAATTCAGAGGAAAATACAACTTCTGAATACCTCCAAAGACTGTTTATGGTTTTAATTAGATCACACCACACTCCTTTCAATGACATCATTATCTTTGCAAACTTGGGTTTTGGTAGCTGCTATGATAAAAAGCAAGTAATGCATAAAAATCAATAAAGAACAGGAATGAGGGCAGCAGTGCCCTCATCTGGTTCCAAAGTCTAAGAAGTCGTGCAGTGTCCAACAGGCACACACATCCCAGTAGCAACTAATTGTGGTTAAGAATCGAATAAAAACATTATTTTTCCTTTCAATTTATACATACTGTAGTTTTAAAAAACTGGTACTAGGTTGTTAGGACAAATATTTGTTAAGTTGTTTGGCCCTAAATACTTAATAAATGAAACTATTAGGTATTTCTTTTGACCTAAGTGCACTATGAGAAGCTTAGGGACTCTAATGATGTCATGAATCAAGAATGTCTGGGATTCTCTGATTTTCAAAATAAATAAATAAATAAATAACACAGATTTGGAGAGAGAGGGAAAAAAACTTAAGCTGTCAACAATTTATCAAATTGCACTAATAAGCAAAAGCCTATTATTGTAATATAAGATACCATGCTTAAAAATGAGGATTCTAAAAAAAAAAATATCAAACTTCTAATGATTTCTTGAGCATGTATAATGTATGCATGTGGAACAACACCTCTAAGCATGTTGTCTTCACATCACAGATGTTCTCTTAAAAAGTTATACAAACTGTGTTTTCTGAAATATATAACTTAATGCCCATGAAAAAAAACACATTATAGAAACTCTGAAGTGAATATTTTCATAAAATAAATCTTCATGTAACAACAGTCTTAATTTTGTTTTTCAAATTTAGGTTTTTATATGTTGTGGTTTCTCCAAGTAGAACAAAGCTCATCTGGAATTTTAATATGTTTAATATTTTTGAAAGCATATCTGTATTTATATCACTTACTCTCATTATTTCCCCTTGAGGGATAATGGAGAGCAAAGTAAACCTGATCTCTTTAAAAAATTAGAATAAATACTAGAACATAAAACAGATGAAATTTCCAATAGTAATGTTACACTTTAACATCTAAATGCAGAATATACCTCAATTTGCATCTTCAGATGTGTCTTGAAGTTTGACAACAAAGTAAGAAATATGGAAAGAGAAAGCTCAAAAACCTCTGGAACAGATGAGACTCCATTTTTTGAGAGTGCAACACACAGATATTGCTTAATAGCATTAATAAACATCTCGTTTGTCCTGAAAACAGGTCCTGCATTCTGCAGAATGGACAGAAGTAACTGCAATGAAAGAATCTTGGATCGTAACTCATGAGACCTAAAACATAAAAAAGAAGGCACAGTATATGAACAAGTTTAGAATTGTGGTAATGAGAGGTTGTTCTGAAGATATTTCCTGGTACCTCACAGTTTCATAAACTTTTTTTAAGTGGAGAGAAACAGGAAACTCTACAACATAAAAAGTATAGTACATGAACAAGCTTAGCCACTAACAATGACTGCTTCCACTAATGTTCACTTGTATCACATAATTTCACAAACTTTTCAAATGGGAAAAAAAATTATTCAGAAATACTTAACATCAACCTATTGTTCTACTGGAAAAGAAAAATACTTTGAAGATTTACGTCTTGTTCTATTCTTTCACAACCATACTCCTCTTCAGAAATTACGATGAACTTCTCAAATTGTCATATGTAGTATACAATAGATCTAATGTGTTTTTTCCTAGTTACACTACTCAAAAACTCTAAACACCAATAAAAATGTTTTGGTTACATTAACAAGTTATAGCACTACTTCAAGCTACTTTTTCAGTAACTAAAGTTTTTTGTCTCTTTTGAAATAAATAGAGGTTTTTAGAACATTTATAAACTTGATCTCTTAACAGCTTAGCAATTTATTCTAAATATTTTTGGAATAAAAAGCACATTTTTGGCTTAAAATTTTAATTTTTTTCTGATTAATACACTAGGCTATGCTTCTGATTATTACATAGCATTTTAACTATCAGATTTCACGAATACAATTTTTCTCTCAACAAAACAGATCTCTTAAGCCCAACAGACCAAGGAAATTGATTCCAGGGAACACTTCAAATGCAGGACAAACTTAAACGTGTTAGCATGTAAGTTGGTTCTTTTTTAAAAAACTGATCCCACACACTATATTCAGTCACATTTACACAGTATAGTAAAACTTAATTGCTCTTGATTTCCACCTTAGAATTTTTATGGTGGTGTTAAGTAATTCAAGGACCTGTGTAAGTCTAAGAAGGAATACTTAATTTCAGGTAAATGGAAATCACACAAAAAAACTACTTTCTTTAAAATAAAACTGAAGCCAATAATATCGTGGCTCATTATTCTATAGTTATGTTTCCAAGATGGCTATTCCTCTGAATTTAAGAATATGTGCAGCAAATATATCATTTTTAAAAAAAGCCTAGATAAATCAAGTTACAAACAGTGAGAGGTAAGATTTTGAATAGCTATACGAAAACAGAATGAGCCAAGTATCACCTCTCATGGTCTAGTCTTCTGAGACTTACACACTACTACTACTTCCTAGTCTAGTTCACACTTATCACCTGTTTTGCTCAGATCCTATAGATTTAAATCTTGTAGCTAATCAGTCTTTAGAATATGCGTTTTTATTATGTTTTATCTTTGTACCCCCAAGCATCTAACAAAATGCATTGTACATCGTATGTTCTCAAAAAAACTAATGGATTTATTCTTGCATTCATCCATTTATTAAGTATCTGCTATATACAAGGCATTAATGAGTGAAGAAATCAACAAATGATTGTCTTATGACACAATAAATTATACTTTTGATAGACAGATGAGGCTGAAAATCTCAGGTCTGCAGTTTTTCATGGAGTAGTTTCAAATTATGATTCAAGCATAGAAAACATTTCCTGGATTATCACACTTTAGCAAAGCTGGAAAATATAAAGAGACGCAAAGACAAAAACAAAACAGAAAACTACAAAAGCTTACTGACTTTTGGTAAAAAAAATCATTCAAGATAGAAAATGAAATATTTCCCTTTGGAAAAGAACAGTTTTTTTTTTTTTTTTTTTTTTTTGTCTTTTTCCGTGTCCGGCAACGGATCGCAACCCTCAGTGTCGCCCCCATACCGGACCGGGACCGGCAACGGGATCGCAAACCTCAGCGCTGCCCCCGCGCCTCGCTCAGCCAGTGAGCGGGAACCGGTCCATATGTGGGATCCGAACCCTCGGCGGGAGCGCCTCCGCTTCCCAAGCGGCGCACTGTAGCAGTGCGCCACCAGGCCGGCCCAGGAAAAGAACAGTTTCTAAGGGTGGGAAATTTGGTCTCTTTTTCAGTATTCAATCCAGTGTTTAATGACGTTGATAATTAAGTCAAGAAGGTCTTCAAATCAAATTTCCTAATATATGGTTTAGTCCCAATAAGGAGGAGGATAATTAATTGACATTAGAACCCTCATAAGAATCCTTTGTAATACTAAAGACTGCAACTTTACAAAACTACATCATTCTTTTTTTCAGGGCTAAATGATCATCTCCCTGCCCCCATAGTGCCCTTTCAAAATTCATGTATTTTCTTTTGTGTTCTTTTCATTCTTGGCATTGTAAAGAACTCCCTCTTTTCTATTTCTAGCATTTTTAAAAATCACATTTTTTCATTTGATTTGGGAAAAGTTAACATCTGAGGCTTTTAAGGCTGTTAGGAAGGAAGGGAGGGAGGGAGGGAGGGAAGAAGAGAGGGAAGGAAGGAATGAAGGAAAGAAAGAAAAGACCACAACAATACACTGAACTTTCAGAAGGAGAGAACAAACCTAAGGATACTAGAGATGGGGGGGAGGGAAGTAGGGTGTGTGCAAAGTGATACGTTGGGCAAAGGGCATAAAGAAATATCACAATTTGTAAAAATGAATATGCTAATAATAAATATTTTTAAAAAAAAAACATTTTTAAATCATGGCAAAAATGGCCTACAGCAATAACACCAAATTTTTAAGTTATTTCCCCCTTAAGGTAGGTCTTCAGTTCAGAATGAGAGATCAAAAATTTGTCAGTTATTGAACGAGAAAATTATTTTTCCCCTCATAATAAAATATTGAAAATTTAAAAAATATATTCTTATAAAGTATATAAGGCATAATCAAGTTTATACTGCAATATAAGTTTAGTCTTTGTTTCTATAGAGTTTATATTTTTAAAATACAGAACGAATAAATTATACTCCTGACACTCAAGATTTGGGCATATAAAGATTTTAGGATTTTAGGCTTTGGGGCCTAAAAGATGTTTCTCCCTAAACTGGTACAATGTGACAAAACTACAGAAAAAATAACAAATAACTTACAAATTTATTTATTTATTTTTTTTTTAATTTTTTTTTATTTCACCTTATTTCAATATTCCTTTCTTCAAGTCATTCAGGTCTTCTCCAAGGACCTAAATTGTTTTGCTACAATACATCACAATGCAACATTAGAGAGGCAGGCCATGCCCAAACTCAATCTCAAGCAGTAATTAGCTACACTTGAACAACGTGAAATACAAGATATCTGACCATTTGTGACTCATGAAAATTAAGCGTTAAACTAATATATTTGATGGGAATTAGACAAATGACCCCTATTTCAAAGTACTTCCAGATCCCTACAGAGAAAGGTATCATCCTAGAGCATTTTGTCTAATTAATGCATTAATGAATATGTATTATCTTTCATTATGACTTTTAAGATTTATTTCTGTTAGGCTTTATTACCTCAGACTGGCAGTTTTTAGAAGCCTAGCCATTAGGCTGAGAAACAGGGCTCCATTAGCTTCAAAGTTACTTACAATTCAGAAATAAGAATTCATTTGTACATTCATTCAATAATATTTACTGAGCACCTATTATGTACCAGGCACTGTTCTATAATGCTGCCATACCCTTTGGGAAATAGTTTAAGGTATCTACTCCAGCAGTGTTGGAACTTACTATTTTTCAATACATTTTTTTAAAAAGTAAAATACCCCCCCTCCCCAAATTTTTTAAGGTTCTACAGGACAAGAACAAAAGAGAATCCAAACATTACCTTTATAGTAAGTAAGTTTCAAGTTTAAAAACCTCTATTTGTCAAGCAAAACAGCTAATGACTTACTTTGGATCTGGTGGTCCATCTGACAGTGGTTTCATTGACAGTTTACACAATGACCTGAATACTAGAAAGGCATCCTTTTGTAAAATGTGGGAAAACTTAGCACCGGGTGAAGGTCCTGAAGAATTTCCAGATTCCTAAACAAGTTAATATACCATGAAAATAAAGACATTTGCCAGTGTGAAATAATTTCAGTCCTCTAGTATATTTGATTCAACTCACCAACAAGTGGGGTTTCCCCCACCTATTGGAAGGGGAACCAGATGAGGAATTTGCCACATTTCCTTTCATCCAACATGCCACTACCATACCCAACAATAAAGTAATATCTTAAAAATGCATTATTTTAAAATATTATTTCTTTGCCATCAAATGAACGCTTAAAATTTACCCAGCTCATAGCATTACTGACAAAAAAAAACTAATACAATGTGCCCTGACAAGATACCTATCCAAGGCCTAAATTAAGCTTTCTACTACCTGTCATTGGGTGTTTTATGCTTTTAGCCTATTTTTTGTGTTTTTAAAAATCAGCTCTGTGCAGACATAAGGCAGAGGAGATTGTGAGGGCAATGACTAAAAGTTATTAACTGCTGAAGGTCAACAAGGCAAGAAAACCTACTTCTGAATATGGGGCATGATTTAGGGCAGGATTCCCTTATCTAGAAAGGTAAGGATAAAAACACACAAAATACAGAGAAGGATGAGAAAGATTTGTGACTACCTTGGTACTGATTTCTTTGTAGCCCTGAACAAGGTTAAGATGAAGTTCCCTAGATTTCTAAGTTTTCTCATCCTATGATACTAGAATTCTCCTGTGGATACGTGATAAGGATGTTCTTTTAAAATGTGATTTCAATTTGGGGGGGGGGGATGATGTGAACACAGACGAGACACATCTTAGAGGTGGAAATGTAGCTATCAACACATTAAGGGAATAAACTGCTCTGTTGATATAAATTAGAGCAAACAAACAAAAAATCAAATTTTTTATTTCCCCAAACTGAAATCAGCCAGCATCATCAACTGGAAATATTTACTACAAGGTGTTGGTAGCCTATTATAAATCTGTAAAATTAAATTATACCTCCCATCATTTATACCTGAGTATCATTGGAAGAGACAGACAATCTGTCGTCAGGTAAGGATGGTGTATATGCAACAGAAATTGGTGTTCCTGGAATTCCATTTGCTTGAATATTTTCACTGTCACTACCATCCTCTATAGTTCCAATGTTGCCATCTGCACCTGCATTTATAGTAGTCCCTTCTCCCATATCTAAAATGATAAGAATAAGAAAACACACAAATATATCTGACTTAACCAAAGTGTATTTAAAAAGCATAGAGTATTTAAAATGAAACAGTGGCAGAAAGTCAATGTGAAGTAAAATATGTATTGGCACTATTTAAGTAAGTATGCATTTGGTATACTTCCAAATATGATCCTTAAGTTGCTCTGGCAATGAAACACACTCAGCTGATGAAACCAGGATGGGCCAAAACAGAAGCTTACTTTTTAGTCTATATTAGAGTTTACTAAACTGGGTTCTGATGAATGCTAATTCCTTGAGATGTTAAGAAAGCTCCTCAAAAAATATTTCATTGTCAAATAAGTTTAAGAAACACTAGGATACAGGTTTCTTTATTATAGACTTTTAATTGCTAATCTGCACTGATTCCTCCAAAGGGGATATACAACATGTAGTGTTTCCAAAATTTATTTTACCATGTGCCCCCGTTTTTTTTTTTTTAATATCTGTTAATATCTCTAATAACGTATGTTCTTCAGACCATAGCTAGAGAAATGATGGCCTACATACCACTGAATATTTTTTATTACGTCACTCTTAGTAATCATTCTTGTAATTAATATAAACAAAAACAAATGACTTCTGGTAGAACAAACATAGATAATGCAGACAATATCAATTTCCAGAACTACTCTAAGTACAATGTATGTTACTTTAAAAAAGGAACACATACACATCGATGGCCATGATTCAGTAGCTATCTGGCAGGAAACTTCCTTTCATGTTACCAATTGAAAGAAACTGTAAGCTAGCATGAGGAAAACATACTATGCTATAAGGCACACAGATTCTGGAATATAAAAGACCTGTGTTTCACTCAATGTCTCCACAATTTAACTGGATAAATTCTTTCATCCTTTTTTGCCTGTTTTTTCATAAGCAAGAGATAATAAATAAGTCTATGAGGAATCACCAGAACACACACACACACACACAATACATAAAGAACACAATTAGTGCTTAGTAAGTGGTAGCTACTACTAATTTAATTAATTTATAATATATCTCCAACTTTTGATTGATTCATGTAATATGAAAGAAGTAGCAGCTTCTGGTTCCCCTACCCTGACGCTGCTTTCTGCTCTCCTAATTAGAACATTAGATTAAACTGGATAATTCCAAACAATGTTTTGCAGTTAATAAGTATTACATGAAAAAGATACTCAGCAATAAAATATACTTGTTTTGTTACACAAAATAGTTGCTCTCTCAGAAGACCTTCTGGAGCTTTAATATGCTAATATTTGATATGCTAAATATGATTACAGATTTTATTATATACAAAGAAAGCTTATATATGCAAAGAACTCTTAAAGGAGTCATGAAAATTTTAATAATGATTATCAGAAGCTGAGATCCTATCTTATTCCCCAAAGCACTTACTCCTTTTTAGCTCTTTTTCCTCTCTGCACCCAATTACATCTCCTCCCATGGCCCTCTCCCCACCTCCCCTTTAACAAATGACCTCAACTTTCTACTTAGCTAAAAATTAGGTAATTTAACATAGGCCTCTTTGCTTTCTCTTGCACCCCCACAATATTCCTTGACATCTCCAATAATCTTTTTCTTCCTTCTCATTTAAGAGGAAAATGCTCCTTTTTCTACAATGAACCATTCCTCTGTCCTCAAATCCATCTCTTCTTGCCTTCAGTAGTATCTTCCTCCACTGAGCATTTTCTTTTAACATTACATTTTCAATTTTGTGCACACAACTGGATCTTTCCCATTACCCAATAAACATACTCAAATCTTTTCATTCTAAAAAAAGAAAAACAGCTTCCTCCAACCCCTGCCACACTCAACTATTGTCCATTTTCTTTCCTCTTTTTATAAAATTCCTGAAAGGAATACTCACTATTCTTTGATTTTACTTTCCTCTTTCCATTATTAGAAAATTTCTTAAAGGAATTGAAAACATTCTCTGATTTTATTTTAAGCTTTGAAGCCAGACTGCCTTAGGGTTGGAATTTTCACTTTATCACTTTTCTAGCAAGTTAACCTAATCTCTCAGTGCCTTGGTTTTCTAATGTATAAAAGAGGATGGTTACAGTACCTGAACATTCCAGTGTTTGGGGGAATATTAAATTAATAAATGCAAATAAAGCACACAAAATCATTTGAGATACACAGAAAGTACTTAATACAGTTATATATTCTCTTAGGTTTTCTCCTCTAATTATCCCTTAAATGTAGATGAAGACTTCTATTTTCAAGGTGGTAAACTGAGCCCACTTGTTCATTTTTTCTTTAATTTCAGTGGGATTTGTCAAGGGAGAAATGGCCGAAACCCACTGAAATTACAAGAAAAAATATAAAGAGACATAGTCTTTAATAGCACTGAAAAATTAAGGTGAATACTATCAATGGACGAAACTGAGAAATTCCTAGAAAATGAGAGGCTGAGACCAAGGGAAAAGCCATTTAGTTCAACATCTATGACCGAAAAATTAGGCTTACCTGAGCCATGGTTGAATTTTGTCATGTTGGTTCTAAAAGACCCCTAAACCCTAGAATTGCAGGTGCTATGAGGTAGGAGGGAAGATGCAAATCAAAGAGCTTGGGGAACCATGCCAATGTCCATCAACAGAGCTGCTCACAGCCATGATCATCTAGACTGTACCTGAGTACTGCCTGCTAATTAAAGTGGAACATTTGTTTAGCAGGTATCCCAAACTAAGAAGTAGAGTAGGAGGAGAAATCAGTAGTATCCCAGCCAACTGGGAGTGCTGCAATAAACACAGAAGCAAAACTAACATAATATGGCAGTGAAATCTAAAGTTCTAGGCTCCCACTATGTTTCTATTTAACTACTGCTAATTAAAGCCCTAATTAAATAAAGGAACCCTAAGATTTCCTATCAAAGGTTAGGAGAGTGAGAACCAACAAATGTGAAGATCTCCCCTGGAGCACAGAATATATAAAATGATCATAGCATTTATCCCAAGCTGCACTTGACTTCAGCGTGTGCTGACAATACTGTAAGGTGGGCCTACACAGCCCAAGGACCACTAGAGCCATAGCCTGCTCCTCCCAGCCTCTGCTTCTCAGTCAGCACTCAGTTCAGAAATATTGGTCTGCCTTTTGTGACCATAGTCACCTCACGGGTTATGGAGAGGAAGGCCTTATGAGAAATGGAAAAGAAATAAATATAATTACTGAGAGAGCTCTTTATAGATTGATCAAATCCAGTCTGTCTTTATATGAAGTGGCATAAACCAAGTCTACAGCTCAAAAGTGGGGACAAAATACAGTAATCTGAGCAAATGGTTCCTTGTGAAATAGATTTTATAGCTGAAACAGTTCTAATTAGTTCTTTCAGTGGCGTGTGAAGAAATGCTACATCAATAAACAAGAGCAAAGTGCTATGAAAAAGCTCAGAAAAAAATGGGGTTCTTAGAGACAAAAACATCATTACTGAAATAAATGTCACACTGGAATCACAGCAGAATGAACATTACTGAAAAGTATTCACAAACTAAAAAACCCCTTGTGACATTCACTCTGAATTTAGAACTCTGAGACAAAAGGATGGAAATTAGAAAAGATTGTAAGAGCGATAAAGGACATGATATATAACACTCACCTGTATAATGTGAGGTGTGGAAAGGAAGAATGGAAAGGATAGAGGAGTGTATTAGTCCGTTTTGTGTTGCTATGACAGAAATACCTGAGACTGGGTAATTTATAAAGGAAAGAGGTTTATTTGGCTTATGATTCTGGGACAGCTGCATCTGGCATGGGACTCAGGCTGCTTCTACTCATGGCAGAAAGTGGCAGGCAGCCGGCGGGTACAAGCAGATCACATGGTGAGAGGAAGCAAGAGAGACAGAGAGGAGGTGCCTGGGTCCTATAAACAACAAGCTCGGGCCGGCCTGGTGGCGCACTGCTACAGTGCGGCGCTTGAGAGCACGGAGGCGCTCCCACCGAGGGTTCAGATCCCACATACAGACCGGTTCCCGCTCACTGGCTGAGCGAGGTGCGGGCGCAGCACTGAGGGTTGCAATCCCGTTGCCGGTCCGGTCCGGTACGGGCACGACACTGAGGGCTGCGATCCGTTGCCGGACACGAAAAAAGACAAAAAGGAAAAAAAAAACAAGCTCTTGCGGGAACTAATAGAGCGAGAACTCACTCACTACCCCTCCTCCCCCAGGGAGAGCATTAATTCATTCATGAGGGATCCACCCCCATGACTCAATCAGTTTCCAACACTGCCACATTGGAGATCAAATTTCCACATGAGTTTTGGAGGGAACAACACATCCAAACTCCATCAAGGAGAATTAATAGAAAATATTAATTCTTTGATGAGAAAGAGATAATAAAAATATCTCTAGAAAGAGAAATAGGTATGAAAGAATTCAGCTACTCCTGATTTAAAAAACAAAAGTAAAATCACACCCTTATGTACACAATCTTATATACACACAAAAAAAGATAAAAGAATCTTTTAATATACTTGAAACAGAAGAAAACTTATTTAACTTGATAAAGAGTATATCTTCCTAAAACAACAGCAATCATTAAGCTTAATGGTAAAATTTAGTAATAGTAAAAAAGTTAGGCTCCTTGCCATCATTAACACTATTCAATATTTTCTGGAGGTTCTAGCCAATGTAATATGGAAATCATCATGTTGAAGGATACCTACACTCCCATGTTTATCGCAGCTCTACGTACAACAGCCAAGAGTTGGAACCAACCTAAATGTCCATCGATGGGCAACTGGATAAGGAAAATGTGGTATATATGTGATGGAATACTACTCTACCATAAAAAAAGAATGAAATCCTGTCATTTGCAGCAAAATGGATGAACATAGAGAAAATTATGTCAAGTGAAATAAGCCAAGCACAGAAAGAGAAATACCACATGTCCTCACTCATAAGTGGGAGCTAAGAAAATAAACAAATTAAAAAAAAAGGAAGTTACAACAATAGCAAAAATTTGCTGGACTTTCAAAAGGAGA